TAACGGTGACTTGGGAAGACAAACGCCATCACTCTGAACGTCCCCCCCTTCCTCCTTCTTCCCCCAGCTTTATATACCGAGCATGACATCCCAGGGTATGGAATGTCCCTTTGGCCAGCTGGGGTCAGCTGTCCTGGCTGTGCCCCCTCCCAGCTTCTTGTGCACCTCCAGCCTGCTCAGTCGGTAGAGCACGGGGAGCTGAAAAGTCCTTGACTAGTGTAAGCACTGCTCAGCCACAACTAAAACATCGGTGTGTTATCAACATTGTTCTCACCCTAAATCCAAACCACAGCACTGTACCAGTTACTGGGAAGGAAATTAACTCTATCACTGCCGAAACCAGGACAATCAGTAAGTTCATCATTCGCTTCACCCAGAAGCAAGAAACAGTTCTGTAACCGAACCTTAACGAATTAAGGTCACAGACTTTTCACGACTAAGAAGCAGCATTTGATGATCTATCTTAAGCCAGCCAGCGTTCACAGTCCCTTCCCAGAGTCCATTTCCAAATGAAACGCGCAACCTTGCAAGCCTAGAGAAGATATTTATTCTGAAAGCAAATTCATTAAATTATTACCTCTAACCAAAATCACATGTGAGCTTCTGGATGATTAATGCCTGTTTTCCAGTAAACCAGCAAAGTATTTTAAGAATATTTATGTAAATTCAATTGCATTAAAGATTACCTTGACCTAAGCAGTATTTTTAAGCCATAATGAAAATATTGCTTCTGGGTAGAGTGCTAACCTGGGATTCAGGAGAGCCAGGTTTGTGTTATGGCCCTGCTATGGGCTTTTAATGTCACCACAGGCAAACCACGCAGCTTCCCTCTGCTTCAGGTCTGCACTAGTGCTTCCCCTGACAACTCCTAACCAGAAGGGACCATGAGGGCTAATGGGAGCATCTATCTAATTTAGTTGCTTCCAGCAGTGATAGTACAAACAATCTGTACAGAAGTGTCATTTGGGGTTCCAGCATCCTCTAATTGGAGAATGAATATTAATCATTTAAATACTGGCTAACAGATAGATATTTAATAACTAGAAAACCTGCTGGCTTCCCAGGGATGCAAGCTGTTGAGCTTGAGTCTTGTGCTAAGACAGTCAGAATACCTTGTCCTCTTCTTAATGACAACAGATATAAATATGATTTCCAGCCCTATACCCCATTTTAGCAGTGTTTCCATGTTCTGTATTCAAACTCAATTTGTCATGCTAGCCTAAATCATTTTTACGTTACCTGCTGCACAACAATCCGTAAACTGCTCTCCAATAGTTGCTAACAGTAGCTCTTTCCAAACTGCAGCCTAAGGAGGGGAAAAAGAAAAAGAAAAGAAAAAAAAAAATGCAGAGTTACATTTGCATTATTTTTCTTTAATTTAAAAGTTGGGTTTGTTAGCTCAGTTTTGAGTGCATTCTCTTTCTGAGGTTGTCTAGACAAAAAAGAGTATTTATTGTAAATACATGCTGTGTTATATAATTAATTTCCTCAATCCAGTTGGAGCAAGAATTTAGACCTTGAAAATACATACTGTTACACAGAATTGTTCTAATAAATATTTTAAATATTTAACAGTAAGTTAAGTTTACCTTCGCTATATCTGTGTCCACAACTCATCCTGAATGCACTAGTTAATGTAAAGCCTGAAAGTAGATTTCTCCCAAGAATTTCCCATGATAAAAGATGGTAAGGCTCCGCTTGTGATCATTTGTTTCTACAGAAAAGAATTACTAACCACTTTAAGAAAAGTATCTGAAAACCCTACCAGTAAATTAAATTGATTTATATTTAAACGTCACCTCTCATTTGCCTGGACTATGAAATAAGTCCATCTTTCAACAAATTCAAATGCTCACTAGAGAATTAAAACAGGGGGGGAAGCTATCTGCCAGTTTATTTTGGCTGTTAGACTAATTACTCTGTTACTTGCTTTTGACACTTGTTATCACCTAAGCCAAAGCCCATGCAAAACTTCAAGTGCATCTGGACCAACGTAATGCTCCAAGGTGTGGGTTTACAGGGACAGAGTGTTTTTAATTATTTGTTTTTTAAAAGAACACGGCAACATGTGTATTTGTTTGTATCACCGTACTGACTTTTTCATATACTACTTTTAAGGAATGTCTTTTCTGCTATATGAAGTTAGCTTGAGTTTTAGTACTATTAAAAAACCCAGCAAATGAAGTGCACCAGGTTAAGACAAAAAGCAAGCAGCCATGAAGATGACAAACTAATAAACCGCTTTAACGGCGTTCCTGAGTACTCCTAAGCCACCTTTCAGAATACAAAGGCTTTCTGTGACTCATCGTCATCTAACCCAACGCATCACATAAAGCCGTGCTATGGGAAGGACCATCTGATGCGATGGTTCCCGAGGCAGGTGGAAGACGTCGGCGTGACAGCCTCTGACACGGTGCCTTTTGCCTGCCAGCGGAACAGCTCAGAGATGAATGATGGGACTGACCACGCACGCTCTCATTGCCAGGCGCAGCGCTCACTACTGTGAGTTGTCCTAATGGTCTCAAGGGTAGGAAGCACTTCATCCAGTAGTAAGCAGTTGCAGGATCAGGCTTATGAGGATCTAAAAAGTATTAGTTTTCGTATTAAAAATTGGCACACAGAAGCGTCACTCTACACGTGCAACAACATTTAAGTGTCAGTATTTTGTCGGTCAGTTTTTCATACCACTTGAAAGACTAGTATCTTTAGAAAAAACCCTGCATTTCCCTCCCTCCACAGCCTCACTGAGCACTGCCACAGCGTATCATCTTTTTGAGTTCGGTCTGTACGTGACGGTTCATCTGAGCCAAGGAGATGCTGCGTGCACATGTGACGATTTGAAGAATGAAGCCAAAAATGAGAAATACGCATAAAGGTATTATTTATGCTATTTACAGAGGCACTACAAGCTGACTGAAATTCACCTTCAATTAAACCTTTCCGAAGTGACCTGGGATGTGTGGTATGTCATTTGAGAGATCAAAAAGTACCTTCATTTCAAAAAGGGGCTGTCATTCGGCCTCTGAAAAACAAGGCCTCTGAGGTCCCTAAATTCACCACCCAGCAATGCAGGCTCCCCAAACCACTTGTCACTTCTGACAATCTTCACCCCTTGGATTATAAGGGGAAAGAAAATTTCAGTCTTTTCTGATCCCTTGGGACTGCAGGGGAGGAAAGCTGCAATTCACATATGGGGAAAAAGCCCACAGGCAAAAATCAATTAACTTTTGGCTGAAATTTCAAGTACCATCTTTCAGCATTTAATGCCTTCTGCAAGGCTATCACATTTTTCTGACACTTCACTTCTTGTGTTTAAAGTCCTAATCCAGAACACACTTACACACATACACGCCATGTGTGAAGAGGTCAAACCTCCTCGCTGTGACAGTTCACCGGAGAAGTTACTCACATGCGTTTGATTAGGGGCGTAAAGAGAAACCCAATTATTTCAGCAGGGCTAGAACAATGACATGCCTGAACAGATTTTCTGTCACATTTTTAAATTCAAAAAAAGAGGGGAAAAAAAACGGAGCAGCACTGCAGTTTCACAAGATGCACACAAGGTGATCTGACAACTCACTGTTGCCAAAGGGGGTGATCCTACTTGTCTCTTCTCCTTTAGCCCCTACGCCCATCAAAAAACTCTCCTGGCCATACACTCAAATTAAAAATAAAATAAATAGGAGACTTTTTGTGACGTCAGTGCATTAGGCTGGCTCACGAGACAGTCCGGTGAGCACCAGAGCCAGTGCAAGAGCGATCAGGAGAGAATGAGCAAGATCTTCGCCCTTCCAGCGGGAGCGAGCCATGAGACGGGATTAGGTATCGGTGGAAACAACGCCTTGGTCCGCGCTTGGCTACAGAAAGTGACAGCGCTACTCACAGCCCTCCATAGGTGCAAACAAGCAGTGCCAAGCAGAAAAAAGGCCAGAGCCTTTAGGAGCATTTCAGTGAAACTCTGAAAGTTGTGCTGGACTGTGCGTGTGGACTTCTGAAGAGCATTACTGAGGTTCTGGCTACAATTTAGCATATGATATTATCACAGAAAGATTTTTATATTTTTCTTTGCATGCCTGTAAACAAACGGTCTTGAGAACACAGGTGATTATAAAATACTGTGTTTCCAAATGGAAAGAGAGTATAACACTGCAGCCTTCATTTGCTTGATAATACATCAACAAGTGTTACCAAAAGCAAGAGAGGTGGAATTACCTGAAATGAAACTTTTGCTCATTGTCTTAAAATGAAAGGTTCTAGATGTTAAAATAGCGTTCGGTTGTTGTGTTGGGTGATGTCAGAACTAAAAAGCTTTACAACAGCTTTATTAGATGGAGTTTAAAGAAACCCCCTTACTGAACAATGTGTAAGTAAAAAGTCAATATAACATACCGTACTTTCTTTAGGGACCTTCATTTTCCATATACCTCCTTTGGCATTGCTTTCTTCTTCCCTGGTTATGGGAAATAGATCAGTAAAATAAATATTCGAATCCACATCTAGATAAAACTATGTTTGGGCTTCAATTTTCCCAGAAAAATCCCATTTGAAAAGCAATTACTAACTCCAGGTAGCATGACTTGAGCTACGACTTCCGACATCAGGGACAATTCTTTCACTGTTCGGATGAAGTGTATCTCTCAACACCTAATCCCTTTCCTAAGTTTTGTGTGTTGGAAAACACATTTTCCCTGACTACAGACCATCTTTGAGGTGGCTGCACACCGTATGGGAACAAGCCACAACGCAATTTTATGTTTTACTATGGTAACCTTTTATTTTGGAAAAAACTCTGGCATATTTTCACAGAAGCAGCTTATTACTCTCAGGTTTATCCAGTTTAACAAAAGAACAGGAGAGCACTTCATTTCGGTTTTGTGACAGTTAGAAATTAATTGCCCTTATTAAAGGAAAGACTGAAGCTGCCCAGGGTCAGGGCAGACATAACCATTAAACTGCCTCATAATGACAAAGGCACAACGTACAAACCTGTGAGCTTCAAGTTTATTCTGCCACAATTCTTTTTAAAAGATTTTAAATTAGGGTTCTAGTTTCCCGTTAAAACTCTGTAATAGCAAAGTTTAAGGAATAACCTAAAATTCATCTTTGGAATATCTAAGGGCAGTATGAGACCTATAAAGATTCCCCAGGGTCAACGGTCTCCCACCAATCTAGGCAAACACTGGGGAAAAGAGGGGGAAAACTTCAGAAGGACACCTTCAAAAACCTGCAGTCCTCAATTCTTACTTCAGAATTTGTTTTTCTTCCTAAAAAGCAATGCTGCAATTAGCCAGTATACCGTAACTGTAATCTGAGAAAAAGCTTCTCGGCAGTAATTACTGAAGAGTTAGCGGGTTACTGATGAGATCAACCTCTTGCAATCCCTTTCCTAAAATACAGCATCTACATTTACTTTGACAGTCTTAAAACCGATGTAGTAGTTTCAGAAAAGATCTTTGCATTTCACACCTTTCATAGTCACTTGCCAAATCAAAACTAAAAATAGAACAAACCCCAAAATGTTCCCACTCATCCTTACAAAAATATCAAGACCTGCACACAATGGCCCAGTTGATTTACACAGACACCAATATTCCTTTCAAATCCAATTTAGCTACCCTGACCAGTCACGGTATTTTTAAAGCAATAACGTAGCCCTTCAGATGCATTTCACTTGAGAAAATTATTTACTTCTTCAGTAGATCAGGACAGAAACCCCCTGTAGTAAGTCACCACCCAGTCAGACATACTACGATCAAGTTAAAGAACCCTAATCCAATCACAATCTATGCAAACGATGCCAAAAAGATCAAAACTCTGCAGAAAGTGCTTAGGCTATCTAATTACGATGTGATGGAACTTCACCAAGAAAAAGGTAGGCAAAAGGCAATTTCTGAAAGGGAAACCTCAGTGATTTATACTTTGTTCCATTACTATCCTGCAATCAAGTAGGAATTTGCTGCAACGAATCACTTCATAATGCCTTAAGGTAGTTTTAATCCGAGGTACATGTGCATTTATACGCTTTTGCACAGGTGAAGAACAGTTAAGGACCATCAGTCATTTGCATTATTATTACACTAGCTTCAGTGGGAAGAAAAAAATATGCAAGTTAAAAATAATTCAAATAGAAGTAACATATTCTGTGTATTCTTGAATTGAAATTCAGAAGTATATTTTAATTGCTTAATTTCTTTCTTACAGTTATGTTCAGAGGTGGACAATTAAATTACAGTCTGGTTTTAATAGAGACTCCTTAGTACAAGTCACTTTTAAGCTTAACAAGATCCTTAGGATATTTCCTTCGTAGGTCTCATAAGTTCAGGCATTTGCAGGCAACAGAAACAACACTCCTGCCCCGTGCCTGCCTCCTTTCACCACTCCAGGTTTTCTGACTGCCGATTCCCAGAAATGTCTAGTGATAGCATACGTACCAAAGCGGCCGTCTTTCTCCCCGCATTCTCCGTTTTTTCCCTGCCGATTCCCAGAAATGTCTAGTGATAGCATACGTACCAAAGCGGCCGTCTTTCTCCCCGCATTAAATGGTAACTACATCTCAGAGGCAAATTTGTCACAGGAGGAATGTTGTTGTAGACGCTCCAGAAATCCTTAAAAAGCAAAAAACCTAGTTGCATTAACACAAAAGAGTATGTTTCATGCAGATTTACTTCCTTGTTCATTTTCTCTAAAACAATTACATATCCTGCTCTTAGAGAACTGGCACCTTCTACGTTATAATAAAATGCTCTGAAAAGAACTTGTTGCAATTTCTCTTCTACTTTTTTTTTTTTTAGATGCCAATCCTGCATAAGGTGGAGATAGAAAGAGGGGAAGCAGTTGAACTGTGGATTACTTTAGAATCAAAGTCCTTAGGAATAGAGAGACAAAAAAAATCATCAAAATCAGAGTTACACTAAGTGTATCAGAACAAACCAGTACATAAAAGCTTCCTTAGCACATTAAAAATATATACTTACATCAAATATCCACCTTGTTTCACGTAAGACTAGTCTAAAACTTCATTATGATTATCTTGTGTTACAAAAACACCACAGACAATAATTCTGTTGAACTAAATGCCTAACTAGCAATCCGACTACTTTGTCTAGATCACAGTGAAAAGTTTCAACCGATGCAAAGAACTTGAGATGCACATATTAATACAGGAATGGGGGAGAAATTAGAAGATCCAAATTACCAGGAACCATCAGATTACTTCCCAGCGTTTCTGCTGGTAAAAGCAGAAGCTGTCATGCATGTTTGGGGTGGATAAAAGGCACCCAAAAGCAGTGGTGAGCAACAGGGAGGGATCATTGAAAAGATCCCAATCCCCTTTCTTCTTTATCCAACAGTTGAGAATAAGAAAGGATTTTTAAAGACTTATGTTGCATCAACATGCAGTGATGAAATATTAAGCATTAGTACAAGTCATTAAGTATTATCTAACACTTAAGCATTAGCACAACTTTAGAAACGAAGATTGCAACCTTGTGCGATACAATTTTGTGGCCCTTGGCAATTCTACCTGCCAGCCATTACCGTTACCCAGCCATGAGAAGAGATGGAAGACTATTAAAAATATAAAAAATTGGTACGAAACACCTGTTTCAACTTTCATCTTACTCTTACCTGGTTGTGTGCCCAAACCCTAAAGCTACCGACAGAAGTAGAAGGAGCAGAGCTATGCCGGCAGATGGCTGTGGAAATATTTGAGAGCTCTTGTGTCCTGAACCAGGGACTTAGTTTGGAAGGTTTTGGTTTTCAAACATCCTTCAGGTGGTGCAGACTGGCATTCCTCATTGCCTAGCTACTGCCCGTGAAGGACAGTGATGAAGTTAACGAAGATTTTGGTTTTGCTCCCCAAGGAAGATCATATTACGTGTATGATGGCACAGTAAGACACGTCATGGGCCACGCTACTAGCTTCTGATAACCTCATCCAGATCATGAGTCTTCCCAGACGACCTGAAGCAGGTTTTTGTATTTTAAACCCCAACCTGATGAGAAGAAAACCTCAAGTTTTTCAGTCAATAAAAGCTAATTATTTAAATAATGAAAGCTAGATTCAGAGTGGGAAAACAGGTACCACCAGGTACTGTGTACACTAGTCTGTGGTCTTACGCTGTCCTTTTTTCAACAAGAACCATTGCAGGCAGTTTTGAAACAAACCCACTTCTGTTGCAACTCTAACTTCAGAGTGTCACTTCATTGCGTGACCGATGGGGACATTCTGCTGACACGGAGAGGTGAGAGGGAACCTCTCCCAGGAGTCTGCAGGACACTTCCATCCTTTATGCCAAAGTACTTCCACTGATAACCTCGTCTCCAGAGAAATCCAAAAGCCAATTTGTTTCTTAGGCCAATTAGCTGGGAAGAAACATCTCATGCAATGTAACAAGTTGGGCAGACGTTAATGAGAAAGCCTTATTTAAAACTTCAGTAGATCACTACGACTGGGCTCCTTCAAAGAGAAGGTTGTGGCATTACCTTAGAATTTCAGAGATTTAGTGAACTAGAGTCAGCTTAGCATTAAGGTGAGACAAATACCAATTCACTACACTTCACGCTAACTGTGGTATTAAAACAGAAATGCAATTTTACTTGCAAGAGATGCCCACTGCTCGGCACTGGCAGACGATATAGAGACATGCAGAATTTCTCATTGCTGCAAGTATTGCATGATTTAAAGTACTTTAATTCAAGTCAGTTTGCTAGAATTTTTTTTTTAATTCATGCTCAAGGAGAGAAAGAAGGAAAAAACCCCACAAGCTGTAACTTTTAGTCTGTGTAATGATTTTCTGTATTTAAAAAAAAATGGAGAAAAGGAAGGAAAAATATTTAAAATACATCAATTTTAACAATCCAATGGAGGCACAAGTAGAAACTCAGGAAAGTTTAAGAAGTGGGGGCTTGCCTGATCAATCCAATATGCTTCCTCCTTTCCTGGTCTGGAAAGCCAAATGGAATTCAAACAACGACAAAGTAATACCACACACAACCAGCAACACTCACATTTCATACCACAGGTAAGCAAAGCCGCAACTGCGACTGTATGAGGAAAAACGAAACTTAAGGTGTGAAGTTACACTAATAACGTGTGGCAGCTCCTGTAGCAAAGCTATACCCCTTACCTGGACTGTTTGTACTGTATAAATCTTCTTCAAATTCGAGGCACATTCAGCCGCTGTCGTCCCAGGGAGTGACCTTGAAAACAAAGTAGAGATTAATGAAAAATATTTATTTTATCAGGGGTGGTAGAAGGGAGAGGGATGGGGAAAGGGAATCATATGAGGGTGAAGTTGAAATATTCACATGTCAAAGTTGCATAATAAACTCCAATTCCAATTATCATGAATCATTTAAAGATAGGAATTCAAGTGAATAAATTAAGGTATTTTGTAAAATATTTTGATTGAGTAGGTGAATTAGGAGTTTTAAACCAAGAATAACAGTGCTCCTTCTAATGGCCACCCCGCACCCTCCTGCCGCCAGGCGTCACAGAACGTTCCGCAGTTCCAACGCCAAGGGCTGCCGGTGAGGGACCGCGAGCTCCTGTCCCGGGCTCCTTTTTTAACTGCCTTTGACGTAGCCCAGAACCCACTGCCAGCGTTTCAAGGCACTCTCGGTATCCCACACTTTTAAAAAGGAAAGTCATCCGCGGGCTTTGTACAACGATTATTTCCCACAGACCGGAGAACGGGCCACTAGGTGGCAGAGGCGCACGGCCGGCGGCGGTGGGCGAGCGGGGCCGGCAAAAAAAAGCGGCCGGATCCTTCCCTCCCCCCCGGCGCTCACAGGACCTGGTCCCACCTGCGACAAGCTCCTCGGTATCCCCGCGTGGGGCAGATGGGCCGATGAGAGGACCGAGTCCCAGAGGACAGTGCTCTCGTCCGGTGCGGCGAGCCACGTAGGCCAACACGGGCAGGAAACCTCCAAGACTTCAGGCAGCTCTTCCACCACCAGCATTTATTTCTTCAAGCCACGTCTACTGCCAGCACTTCCCATAAAGCCAAGAGGTCCCTGGGTTGGTTTCATTGCCGGATCTCAGGGTTACACTGATGTACACCAGGCACAGTTTAGCTTCTCCAGCTCACCCTCGTACCGACTATTCCCAGTTCCCACCCGGAGCCGCTCCCTTTAGGCACACGCAGCACTGACTGCACCCCATCATCTTAAAGGTCTTTTCCCACCTAAATGATTCTGTGATTCTATTTATAACCTTCATCACGACTCTTCAGTGCAGGCGACATGGGACGGTGCATCCACATCCTCAGACGTCACCGGCTCCTGTCACTGCGCTGACAGCACGTCGGAGCACCCATCTTACAATTCCCACAGCACATGCCCCCGCAGGCACAATTTGGGGGGGAATAAGGTCAAAATTGCAAAGGCGCATTCAGTTTGTTAGAATTGGAAACATTCCCTCCCTCCCCCCCCCCCCCCCGCCCCAGAAGCTGAAGTAGGACTTCCAAAGAAAAATGAAGATCAAAGGCAAAGCAACCTCCCATTGCATCTCAGAAGAGGAAATAAAAATGTGTAAAATGACTAAATCGGGAAACAGAAGCAACAGAGCAGATTTAAGGAAACAGAAGAAAAGCAGTTGTTGCTCAGGTACCTGCTGAAGAAAGGATAAGGGCAAACCAGATCTCAGTAACCCTCCCATCAATGTGGCCATTTGCCCCGATACATCTGATCAGCATGAAAATGTGTCCAGGAAAACACTGAAGTAACCCTCAGCTGTTACAGATGTAATTCAGGCTCCGGGGCAAAAACTAGATATTCGTGTAAAGGAAGAAATTTAATATGCAAAACTACTGGAACAGCATCACATCTTCAAAACTTTAAAAATAGCTCCAAGGTTTTTTGAAGGCTCCTATCAAAATAAGTTACTTTAAAAATACATACAAAACCAGCAGAGAAATCCCTCTCAACTTTTTCAGTATAGAACACACGAACTAACATCTGCTTTACTATTTGCCTGTTAATCACGAGACATAAGAGTACATTGCAACGGTGGAACTGATGAGAAAACAGCGTTACATGTCCAAATTTCAAAAACCACTTTAACAAGAGGTTATAAAAACAAACCAACCCCAAGAAATCGCTGTGGTGCAGGTTCTAATCCTGTGGCTCATGAACTATGAAAACTCCCATGGGAAAACGGATAACTTGAAAACAACAACAACCAAAACTTTCATCAATGTGCTCAAAAGGAATTATCATAGTAAGGGTCCTCTTTTTTTTTTTTTTTTTTAATGCTGAGTGTAGAGTGTAAAGAACAAAAAGAGAAATTCACAGTATTTAACAGAAACGGAGTCAGTCCGACGGCTTTTGAATGCACCAAAAAATAAAAGCAGTAAGTTAAAACAGACAGAAAATTTAGCAGGTGATTTAACTGTGTTTGTCAGTAGGGAGTAGTGGATTTGCAACAAACTACCACTTGTTTTTAGCTTGTTGCTGACAGAAGTAGCACCTCTCTACTAAGCTTCGTTTCATGTGTTATAGAACAGAAAGCAGCAAAACTTGAGATAACTTTGCCTGTTGGTGTCTCACACCACTGTCCAAGAAATTACTTCTTAGGCACTACTTCTGCCAGTTTGCTAACTTAGCAGTCACCAATACATACAGGGTTAACTTTGTTGTACAACGTATAGTATCATCGCTCTCTATACGCACACTGATACTGCCACGGAGATGCTGCGATAGTAAGGTCTATTCAAATAAAAGATTAAAATCTATTCTCTAACAATAGCCTTCAAAGGTTATCTAGATAGTCATGGTAGCCATTTAGCAAATTCAATGCCATTTAAAAGAGCAGCTAAGACAGACAGACAGAATATTCCTCTCCCGAGGTCATAAAATGGTTCGTTTTGATAGTTGCAAATAACATTTTCCAGAGAAATTACGTGGCCAGCTGGCAGAAAACACCAACCGACCGGCAAATTTTCTGTTTTAAAAGTTAAGGTGACCAACCACTTATTTCTAGTAACCTGCCTGGCAAGTGCTCCATGCCCACAAGATTACACGGCATTATTTCAGCCTTGCACCCAGCTCTGGAAAACGTCAGTGATTTATTGGTCTGAGCATGAACCCCAAAAAACTATTGAAGGGACTGCAAATGATAAAATGATGACATGCATCATTTGCTGCAGAAGTTACACCTGCACACATTTGGTTTAATGGATGAGTATAAGACAGAGACAGTATTTTAGTCACAGACAGAAGGAAAAAGCCCAGAATTTCCTGCAAAATTACTGATCGATGACAAATCTGAACCACAGTGATTCCGCCATAGCCATCCATAAACTCAGCAGATCAGCACAGATGACAACTGAGGTGGGTTTGTGCCTTGAAACCCATGAAACTGCGATTTTTGTTTTTTAACTGAGTACACAGAACAAGTTTAGGTCAAATTAGCAGAAATGGCAGATGAGTTCCAAATGAAGAAACCTGCAGAAATTCCTATTTCTGTAACTCTTCCAACAAACACACTGTAAGCTAGGAGCAGTAAGATGGCGGTGGACTTTGCTGAAAAACCTCAACACACACGCTACTACAAAACAGGAACCCTGCAAATACTGACCCTTAAAATGAAGCCGTTACAGGATTCCTCCCTTTTGGATAATTTTACTGCCACGAACAATAAAGTTAATCCGATATGCCATACTGAACTGTCGATTATTGCCATGGTGAACAATTCATTTCCAAGTAACTCAGAAGGCCCTGCAAATCCCTAGGAGCATACTAAGAGGAGGGGACGGGTCCTCCCAGCTGGGTCACAGCACCAGGCAGGCACCGACAGCTCTTCTGGGGATGGAGATAGTTGATCTGTCGCCACACCACCTACAGATGCACATCTGCGTTCCCCACGGAGAGTCTGCACGTAAAATATTCAACAGTTCTCCCGGTCTGCCTGTATTGTGCCCTGCGATGCCACTTTTCTGCATCTTCAGAATGTTTATGGGAGAAATTTTAGTGCAATATCAGGAATAACGGAGTTGCCTAATCAGGCCAGACCCACCGTACCACATCTCACAGTAAACTGCAGGGGCATCAGCTAAAAGGGGAACATGCAAGCAGGAATAACCCGCGCGAACTGAATCCTGACGCCAGCTTGCTTCACTACTCCTTCATTATTCCAGCACGAAGAAAGAACAAAGGACACAAAGATAAATTCCATTGTTTTATCCATGACTAAACCTCCAGGTGGTTGTGCTTATGTTAATGTCTGATGCTGAACTGTAGCTCTTCTGTTTCCCTGCAAAGAATTAAGGATAGAAGTTTTTTCGTATGTGCTCACACTGGCCTTTGTTTCCCAGTGGGAATCTAACCGCGGCCTTAGCGGGAGCTTTAAAAGCTGCCGAGCACTTTTGAAAACACCCCTGTAAGTACTTAGCCACAACTGCTTTTGGTATAAATAAGCAAAATATTTACTTACAAAGCATAAACTCAAAAACATGCTGTGGCAACTAAATAAATCTGGTAATCCATTCTGAATACAAAGACTGATTTCAAGCCATCAAAGCCTGTCAAAATGCATTTACTGGGTTGAACGTTCCTATAATATTAACCACCATTTTTCATTGTAAGCCACCTACTCATAAGCTTTAATAGATGAAATAGATGATCCTAGATAAATAAGATTTTGCTATAGGGAAGAAAGGAAATTATTAAGCTTAGTTTCAAATATCTGATGTGTTCAGTTATAAAGATTCACAATTATTATGAAAATGGTTCAGTTATCAGAATTCCTCTACTAAACTTTATTTATACAGAACTCATCAGTATAACACGCAGAGAGAAAAATCAGCACATAAGGATAACATGTTTATGTAAGAACATTTTCACCTTCCTGGAGTAGACTAATAACATTGCATTGCATTTGACAATGTTTATAAGCATATTCTTCCTCTCAGAAAGATACAGAAGAGTTAAACTGTTCTTGCAGTGGAAACAAATTACCTAAAAAGCACTTCGAAGTCAGGCAAGAAGACAAGGCAGGCAGGCCATGATCCTGCAACGCAATCCTGACTTCCATGGAAGCGAGGGCATCGTTGACGAGGTTTATCTAGAAATGGGACTTCTGTACGAGGCTTTTGTGTGATCTGTGCTCAATTTCCGATAGCACTGATTTGTGTAGAAGGGTACCGGTATTTTCCTCGCTGTTGACTGAATGCGGTCTGTCAGCAACGCTGGCAGCTCAGATGCAGTTAGATCTTCAAAAGAGGTCTTTCTGCAAGGATCTGCAACATCTTCATTATTGCGTGTGCACGCACCCATTGGACCGAAAACTGTTACCGCTGACAAAACCTCAGGCTTCTTGTCATGAGGCTGAAAAATCAGACAACTACTAGTACTAGCACGTTCTTTTGGAAGGGAAAGGCTTACTTGGTGTAGCATTAACATAAGATGGCATACGATACCCAGGCTAAACGACAGTCATGATTTGCGAGGTTTACAAAGTAGGATATTTGCATCATGTCCACGTGTACATCAAAAAGCATAATCAGCTTCACAGCTTCGCATTTACACGAAGATCGCACCCAGATCCACAACCCCAAATCCCATTAAGGGATGGTTTCAAGTGCCTCATGTGGCTTGTTACCCAGGACATCCCAGCCTTTGATGGTCATTTCACTTGACTTCTCCTTTTGTGCAATCCCCATGTTGAATGCCCTACACAACATGAATATAGTGACCAGACTTTGTAATCCTTGTTTTTAATTTGTTATATTCAGTGATGCATATCGACACTTTGTTGTAAAAAAAATGAAAGACTACAGAGTGTAGTAAAAACTAGAAAGGCACCCTTTCATTTCAAAGCCAGAGGCCATTATAAGCAGGACCCTGCACCAATCCAGAGCCTCACTGAGATAAGCACGAGCGTCAAGAGCCACCAGCATGGATCAGCTTCCCAAGGAGGCACCGAAGGCATCTGCAAGACTTTCCGAAATTCCCCATGCGTCATAACATCACTGCGTGCAAAAGTACTACGAATGAGACATGTAGGTACGAACTTGGAAACCTGCAGAACGGACAAATGAACCAGCAGATCTAAACCCCTGGTTTCAAAACTTTTAGCACACGTCCTTAAAACATTTTAACAGTTAAAAAGGAAATCTCGTTTCACTTAAGAGAAAAACACCTGACAGCTTCTCTGAAACTGCTGACCTGCAAGCATTTGAAGACTATAGATGGAATCTTATTTGGCAAACTGGTGAATAATATTCTCCCAAACGCTTTCATCCTGCTCAATTTCCTAAAGCATATACGGGGTAAGATACAAGAGAGTGATATCAGATGGTTACTATTTCAGACACACATACCAAGAAAGGCTTAGCACTTACGGGAAATGCTGATGCCCCGTGACACGTGTGAGATAATGGCAATGAACCAGAACCTGGTCACAGGATCCCAGTCTCCAAATGTTAAGCCTGTGCCAAGGCATTCACAGAAACAAGTGCCGATGTAGATAAACCAAAGGCATTTACTTCTACAGCAGGAGATGTATCAAGTGACACTATGATAAAAGCAAGGTCACGAACACCAAGGGAATCCCTTGGTAGCGTATCACTAGTTGCTATAGAAAGTACTGCTTAGCTGATGGATATTTATTTTAAATGTGACTTAATGAAAAGATACATTTTGGAGAGGTTAGAAGGTATGTCATGGATCTCTCACAGTAATTCAATAGAAAAAGATAACTATATATCCACCTCAACATCTATTTATCCGTAAGCGTCACTTCTTCCTGCTTTTCTGTCCAAGTACAGGGTAAAATGTAATAGCAGTCAAAAATCAATACCATCGCACGAGGAAACATCACTGCTCCACACTATGTGTTACTAAAGTAAGTTAAAAAAGTGCCCACAGTTGTCTTCTGTGGGAAGCCCACCCTGTACAAGCCTAAGCGATGATCCCTCCATCCAAGCTGCGTGGGTGTACCAAGAAATGTCACAGCCACTTCTGTGGGACTCTGTAGGGAGACATGAACCTCCACACACTGCAGGAAATTAAGTTCAGGGTCGCATTTCTTGTATGCTTTTTAATGCCTTAAATGGTTTTTAAATGTACGAAGCAAGCCCTGTTTGCTGTCATTCTTGTTCCCTGGCATTATTCCGTCACAGCTGCTGGCAAACAAAACACACAGTTTTGTGTATATACGGTCCCACCTTTTTTTCCCTCCTTATACATACACTCTTGGTTTTATAAGTTAAGGAACAACAATACTACCTAATTAAATGCACTTATATGTGATCAGAAAGAAGAAAAAAAAAAATCTATAGAATAACTGAATTTTAAGAGTCTAAATTACAGTGGAACCAAGACTTAGGGGGGCAAAAAAAATCATGATGCAACTCAGGAACTTGAAATTGATTTTAACTCCTGACGCTGATTATAAAAGATAGACATGCTTATCTCCACATGGCTTGTGTCAACAAACAGATCTGGATGGTAGGTTGCTTAAACAGCAGTCCAAACGGTGCTTTGTAAAAAGAAACAAACAGAAAACACAACCCAGATCCTGAACCCGACCGTAACTACGTCATGAGTTCAAGAGGATTAACCAGAAATAATTTGTGGGGTTATTTCTAAGATTTGATTTGCAGGACCTGAGAGTAGTTGTGTGCTTTCAACAGGTTCTTGCTATTTCTCTGTCATGAGTTGAAAAGTTACACACCCCCCCCA